ATAAAAAGAATACATAGTTCACAGAGGGAAAGTTATTTTGCCAGCCCCAGCTAAGGATTAGCATAGGGTTAAAACTGACATGTAGCATAGTAGACATATTACATGGTATAGGGGATTTGGATGGAAATGTTCGCACTGTTAAGCCATAAGCACTCCCAAAGCTAAAATGAGTTCTACGCCCTGGCCACACTTAGCCATCTCAATAGAAAACAATCTGTTTATAAGGTAGAAGTCACTATACCTTTACATCTACAAAATATATATTTTGCCTATGACTGGTTTTCATTCATTTAAGAAGGAATTCCTCCTCACATTTCAGTATAGACCATTTTGCATTATGATAAAGTCTATAAGTCAAAAAATTTAAATATCTTAAATGTTTTCCATTCCTGACCCTCCCCCCCCATGGGGCACAGAGGTCACACAACAATGTAAAACTTGATTTGAGCTGAGTAAATTGTTTTAAAAGTCTTGGTTGATGGATACTGCCTCCGATTCTCTGGAAGCCTGTGATGGCACAGTTTCTCTAAATTCACTGTATTCAGCAGATATGTTAGAGATACAGATAAATGTATTTTGATTTAAGCAGTTTTGAACAAATTGTTCTATGTCTAAGCAAAGACAGTGAATACCAAGAAGCCATAAGGATTTCTGAATGCTTCAACATCAATTCAGAGTTTGGTGAATTTTCTTAAGCGTTTGAAACTGATAACTATGGGAAGCCATTCACAGCTTGTCCTGAATCCTGGAAGTCATATAAATCTGAGGCTCTTTTTTATCCTTTTGATGTTTAAGCATCATTGTGTGATTATGAAACACAAATGATAAAACAAGATAAACATCTGCATGATGAAACACAAAAAAGCAAGCCTGGCTGTTTTATCTTTGGGAAGACTTTCTTTGAGATTAATCTAAAATGAACTAAAGAAACCAGATTTTATTAAAATGTCAAAAAAAAATCCATCCCACTAAACACCTAACTCGTTCCATGTGCTCTATTAAAAAGTCCAACTTTGTCTGAATAATATTCTTCAAAAGAAAAAAAGAGGGATTGATATTGATATAGCTACTCTTTTGAAAGTCAAGGCTGGTACTTAAAACAGGTTGGAGGCTGTTTCCGCTCCTTGCTAAGTGGAGGATTTGTGGTAGACTCCCAGACCATGAACCTTCCTCCCAAGGAACCAACCAGCCAATGAGTGAAGCACCTACCAATAACTGTGCTCAAATTAAAGGAAACATCATTGATGTGGCAAGAGCTGGCTCTTAACAGTGCACATGAATTATAACACATTTAATCTCTTAGAGCTTAGCTGTAACGTCCTTTTCCAAGGATGTCTCTGGGTTCGTGATTCATGGAGTGTCATGATAGCTACCTTGTGAAAGGATATGTATTTTGAGTAAGAAATAACCCAGTTGTTTGGAAGTACTGAGCTATGGCTAAATGAAACACAGTGAAAAATGCTTTAACTTGGTATAATGATGGTTCCTGTGTCCATAATGCTTATAAACATATAAGCTTTCCCCCCCATAGTGTTTTTGAAATAAGGCTTGGAAGTATTTTCATTATGTTCTTTTCAGTATTAATAGTGCTTGCAGCTGGAGTTTTCTTCCCTATCTGCTGGGTAAACATTATTTATTGTGTATGTTGGAGTATATGATAGTCTGATCACATTCTTCTCATAAAGAAAAGGACATTTTCAGATTTCAACTATTTTTCAGATGTTTCTAAGTAACTTCTATTCAAATCAAAAGGAAATTGCTTCAGGATTTTAAAATAGAACCAAAGCAAGCC